GGCCGCCTTCTGTCGATCGAATTCGCAAGGAACAGTTGCTTAGCCTTCCTTTCTGGAGGCATTCGCAACACATGCCCAAACCATCGCAACTGTGACTTCTCAATCTGGTGAAGCAAAGGCTGTATTCCAAGGCTCTTCCGGATGTCACTATTCCGGACCATGTCGAGACGCGTAAGGCCTCGACTCGTCTAAGAAAGCCCATTTCAGCAGCTTGTATCCGCGTTCGAAGTTTTTCAGTGATGGTCCACGACTCACGACTGTAGGTAAACATGGGGATAAAAATGGACTTGAAATTAAATATCGTACATATTGTACAGAAATAAATACGTGTAATATTTTAATTCATAATTACAGTAAATTAAGCACGGGTTGAAGAGTACGCGACCAATGCCAAGTTTGGGACAAAATCTGCAAGGGTACTACATCTCATAGTGATGAACTACATGGTGACATGACCTACTTGACGTGCTAATCCTCATATTTTGTTGACAATTCGAATTCGTAGTTTGGGTTCAGTTCTTCAATGGCGGCTGAATTTTTATTGACATATGCATATGCGAATCGTGCAGATCTACGGATTAATATCTTTGAAGCCCATAGGTATAAATGCGGAGTAGAAGAGAGGAATCGAACGTTGTCATAAGACTTGCAACATAATTCAGAAACATATTTGTTTTAAGCTTACCAGGCATGTTCCATTCCCTCCTGTTACCATACCCGTTGGCGAAACGAGTTTGAAAGCCTGGGTGATGCAGAAACAGATTCAGCCTAAAGATGATTGTCTGAACACAGTAGACTATCCGAGTGGAATTATTCCTGTGATTTTGAGCAGACATAAAAAAAACTTCGTTATGTACTCATATACTTTCCTCCAATGACAACACAGCGAGATCAGCAGAAAAGGTTGGCGACATGGGCAGGTTTCAATCGCATCAAAGTTTTCCTACTGTATACCAAACTCTCCATGTACACAACGAAGCAGTTTTTCCACTGCACCCTTCCACCTGCCATGACTTACTGCGCGAAGTGTTGGTCTGCCGTGAAGGCTGAGAAAATAACCTAGTAGTTGCGCTAAGGGCGATGGAAAAGTTTTCCCTTCGATACAATATTCTAAGTACAATAGATCGGTGTAAGATACTATCCTGTATGTGTTCATTG